GACTGTGTTTGTCAGACCTCTACCCATGGACCAACCTGGTGTGAGAGACTCTGTAAGTGTCGCGCGGACACCCCCAATATAGCTCAATGGGTCTCCGAGGTACATAAACCGCCACACCACAGTAAGGTCCAATCTCTCCGGTGCTTCCGCAAAGACCACACCGTGGAAAGACACCCTTAGAAGAAACCACTCCAACGAAGAGATAACCACATGGAAGAGATCACTTTTAGTTGGCCACTTACATATTCCATCTTATTTTGGATTCTTTGGGAGACTAATTTTCGGCCAGAACAGAACAGCCTTGAGCAAAGAGGGACCATCCACTCCGAAGGGTTGCGCGCTGAAAGTTGGGTTCTTCAGCAACACAACCGAAACAATTTTTCTTGCATTTTTGTTTGTTTCAGCTGATTTCGGTAGACAGCTAGGCTCTTGATAGACCACCGTGAGTAACGCGTTTGATACATCAATGAAGTTTTACACCAAACACTATCCGTTAAGAAAAAACCGTCTTAAAATTTGAGAACATGCATGGCGTTCTAATAATGTTTAGGGATTGAAAACTATTCGCTGACGTTTACTAAAGTGTTTTAGTCTAAGAACTGACTATCACTAACATCTGAATGACGTATAGATTACAGGGTATGATGTATCTCTTCCGTCTTATTGTAAACTGCAACATACTTAAGAATGCAGCAACCTCAATAAAGTATCTGTTTTTTACTACGTCCCTTCACTGATACCGACCTTCCATATAGGAGAATCTTCGGTCTGTCCTCCATATCGGCTAGTCTATACGCTAACTGCAGTTTTTTAATTGGATATAAAAGAACTCTCACAAGCCTAAGCTCTGATTAAGGCACGCCGGACGATCCTCGGGTACACTAGACATGAAGGGGATAGCAAGCCACCAGTGAAAGAACTATTATTCAACCAGAAACCAACAAGCTTCCACAAGTAACGCTTCAGATCCTAGAGCCTATATGTTGTTTTCTATTGCTCCAGTTGACTGAGATGAAACAATCAGACAGAGAGAAGGGAAGCATTCAAAAGTTGATGCTTTGAACCAAAAAAAAACAACAACAGGATCTGGGCTATAACTGACCTCGATCGTCCATGAGAGGATTGTCGCCGTTGAGCATTGAGGGAGAAGATGAAGTGGAAATCCTGGACTGAGCGCAATTCACGTTGGATGANNNAAACAACAGGATTGGGCTATAACTGACCTCGATCGTCCATGAGAGGATTGTCGCCGTTGAGCATTGAGGGAGAAGATGAAGTGGAAATCCTGGACTGAGCGCAATTCACGTTGGATGAAGAACAAACTGCAAAGGAGGAAAAATGACCATCTCAAATGAGGCACTCACTCGTCACATATAGTTCGTTTAGGAATTCAGTTCACGGTCTGCGAGCAACAGCAGATCCGAGAACATCTGTGAAAACTGAAGAGGCAGTTTCAACCGGACTAGCTCAACCTAATAGGCTTCGGTTTCAAGGACAAACGTAATCCCCTCTAGAGAGATCAACAACTCTTGGAGGAAACCGAATTCGTAGGTCCCTTGCAGATTTAATCTGTACTAGAAGAGTCAAATTCGAGACTGTCTCCTTAACTGGCCTGGCCAGGATTGTACGGAAATGAATAACGACACCGCACTGATATTCAGTACGTGTTATTGATACGTACTTGTCGCTCAGTTGCTAGTTTCACTGTGTAGTAATACAAAAAAGGCTCCGAAAGCAAATGAAAAGTTGGGTCATCACTGCATACCGAAAATGTGACGGGTTCGATAAGGTCAGACAAAAAAAAACAAGATGCGCGGTTGTGTGAGTGTCTGGCAATTTCGATACATCTGTTCGTTCCAAGTCAATTGCACGATGTAATACAGAATGAACCGATCGTTCAGAAAGACACGCCGTTGATGATCCGGTTATGAAACCATCGGTTCAAAACAGACAGTCTGACGATAAAACCTCCGTTTTTTTATGCAACAAAAGACAAAATCACCGTGGAGCTCGGAACTGGCTCAAAAAGGAAAGCGTGCGTGAGAAGGAATTCCCACTTCACACCTGAGGAAACACAACAAATCCAGTCGATGATGGCTCTGTGCGGTTAACAATATCGGTGCAGTGCAAATAGACTCCCCTAACACAACATGCTCGTGGATCACACACACACACACACACACACACACACAGTAGAAAACCAAAACACTGTTGAATCAAACAACCTTGCAACAATGCCGAATTTGCAAGTGAAATAAGCCTCGGTGTTTGCCGAGAGTGGTGCAAGGGAAACCAAAGCCCACGGGGTACAGAGCAGAAGTAGAGTTGGTGACTGACAACGTTCAGGCAGTATGTGTATCTAGAAACAAACTGAATGAGTGACACAGGGCTTGGTTTGCATACATACATCAGAAAGAAAACGAAAAAAACACCAAGGACACTCAAAGAAAACAACGTGAACTCACACAAACAAACTGATGAGCTACCAAAGCCAAATGAGAGAAAAATTGTGTCAAATAATCAATTACCTTGTCCAGATGATGAAATTAGAATATGAAGAAGAAAAAACATCACCGAGTCATCTTGACTGCCCCCGGAGTCCCTATTACGACTGTCAGAACTTAGCATACGGAATCAACTTGGACTGGGAGCTCCAAGGGTAAACTGAAAACAACACTTGCTCAAGCGGGGCATGTGAACCAATACTGCGAAGCTAATAAGCTGTCAGTAGAGGGAAGGGCGAACTGTGTACAGCCTTGTGGCAGCTCATCATAGGAAGGTAGTGCTTATGTGATGCTTATGAGAGGCGTTGTATAAATCTCCTTTGGTTAAGGGTCGGCGGTTGTCATTGCTTACATGCTCAACTGCTCCCAAGAGCTTAATGATGGTTGTCTGCAGTTTGAAAAAAAACGGTTCATGTGACGCATCGGACAATGACAGCCGAAATCTGGTGATGCACCTTACAATACGATGAATGCGTTCACACATCACTGTAGCGGAGAAGCGACCATTCTCAGAACTCATCAACTGTTGAGTACTCCTAAGACGCTCGGCAACCAACTACCTACACCCAAGAGCTTAATGATGGTTGTCTGCAGTTTGAAAAAAAACGGTTCATGTGACGCATCGGACAATGACAGCCGAAATCTGGTGATGCACCTTACAATACGATGAATGCATTCACACATCACTGTAGCGGAGAAGCGACCATTCTCAGAACTCATCAACTGTTGAGTACTCCTAAGACGCTCGGCAACCAACTATGCACTTACGACAGATGCATTCTCTCCAAACGGTACCTTTTCAGATAACAGATGATGAGGTTAACCGCAGTGAGCCGTCTATCAAACGGCCTAAACTGGAGGGCAATCCTACGAACAAAACCTAATATAAGAATTATCCAGCAGTAGCTCCCTTTCGGTGTCAAGCTGCCATACCACAAGAAGGAGGCACGAGGGCTGTGATACTGCCAGGTTGCCCAAGCCTAGACAGAGGATGTCGAGAGGCAGAGGTCGGATTCGAACCACGGACCTTCCGGTCAGTAAATTCGCCTCTAATCACATGGTCCATCTCGCCCCCTTACGATAAGAAGGAAGACGTGACACTGACTTTCACACTTTGTAGATCCGCGAGGCTGTTCAGCTTGTCTTACTAGAAGGAACATTCGATCGCAAGTTGTTAGCTAATAGCCGCGCCTGAATAGCATCTATCCCAAATGAATTCGAAGCCTGCAAATTCCGCCTCATGATATGGTCGCTTAAAAGAATTGGAGTTGGCTTTAAGCATGGGCAACTGATCGCTAGTGCGTTGGACCTATGCCCGTAAGGGTAAATGCAGAGTGAATTTTAGCTATCAACATGAACTGAAGTTTGCCGCAGCATTTTCCACAAACCATGGCAATCTCAAAAGAGCGATGTGAATGCATACAACATGCATACACTGATAGAACAAAGGAAGGAGAGAAGCAATAGACTCTTCTCTCGGTGCTTGCAGTCTTTTTGTCCGCACTTTGTTAAAATATGATTTCTGTTCTGGCGTACAAAGTGTGCGTACACTGACGCAGCAAAATAGCAGCGAGCCTTCACCGAGGGGGTCACATGGAGTATTCAGTTAGATAGTGGCTCAAACCCTGGCGCGAACGCTCAACCCAATTCCACATACATGCCACTAGTTGATGACATATGGATGCCGTCTTCCGACGTTGTACAAATTGTGCATAGTTTCACCGTCAGGTTTTACAGGGTTCTCAAGATTATTGTGTTATACAAGAGGTTTCTCGTCAGGGAACGGATCGAGGGAGCGGAAAATTCAAAGGCTAGGCGCAAAACGCCCGTGAATTGAGTGGGCCTGCACTGCTCAGTTGGAACAGCTTTCAACATCTTGCTGACGGTTAGCGTTAATCTCAAGTGAACCACCGCAGAAATCTGCTGAAATAGATCCAAATGGTGGTGGATTAACGAGAATTTCACAATCTTAGATTCAAATCGGGGTGATATTATGGAAACATAGTGCCATCTCCACTTAAAGTTCCTCCCTCTAGAAAAAAAACCATATAGAAGAAATTAAGAAAATCCATGAGACATGGTCCAAAAGAACCAACCAACCTTGGGTCACTCCAAAAATGTTAGAAATGGACAGCCGAACGAGTGATATTTCTGAAGTATAATGACTTTCAGCAAGGCGTGCCCGTGCGATGCCTACACGTTTTCGTTGAGTACTTACACAATGTGATTGAAAAAACAGCGCCAGTACAATCTCACCAATAAAAATTTGCAAATAACCCCCTCCCCCCTAATTTGATGTACTAAAACAGTTGTTTTAATCAAAAGTACATCAACGCCCATCCAGAATTAGCTGAGCGCTACCTATCACGTGCTTCCAGTCTGTCCACTGCAAAGTAATCGGAAGGGCGAAGTAACGGAAAATCTAATACGTCGAAGGTGAGCAAACAGGTCAGAAAAAATCATGCATAGAGAAAGTCTGGTGTAACGCTCAGTGGAACGGAATTTTAATGAATGTTCGACCTAGACATTAGCTGAACTACTCATTCGGAAGTGAGTGCCTTTCGAGCACAAAATGAACCAACCATTCATCCTGGAGAAAAACAAAACGAAACACAAACTCTAAAACGGCTCTCATTGTGTCGTATTAACACTATAGAAAACCCAAATATCTTTGAATGGCCTTCGGTTTCGCTTGTATATGAAATGGCTCCGTTCACAGTTATAATGGTTATAGCACAAAAATTTTCCGCTTATTTAATCTCTGCGTTTCGTGTATTATACTTCCTAATTGAGTTATTTGCTGCTTGCAGACGGTGAGGTGGTGGAGATTCTCAAAGTCTGACTACGATTCATAGTCCGGCAAAACACCGTGGAACGTAGGATATTAGTGAATGCAGCATTACTTGGTCCGTTACACAGTACACAGTGCCAGTGTGAATGGTGACGGAGATGAGCTTTGTTCCTTTTCGGTAACGGGGTCACCCGGGGTTGGACACAAACAGAGCACAGAGTGGGACATCGCATGGGGGGAGAGGGTATGGGACCACCAATAGCAGACCTAAACTGGGGATGAACACCCCTGCATTTTTTGCCACAATATAGCCCGAAAACATTCTTCGTTACATGACAATTTCCTACAATCCAAGTGGTACAGTCGCATAGGTTTTAAACGATATTGGTGGGAAACGTTCGACCTTCGTAAATGCCCGTATCATCTTGTTGAATATGCAGAACCCTCAGTAAGGATTGCTAGCTGGATTGGCGTCCTAACTGTGACCAAGACGCTCACGAAGGAATGCTGAAATCCTGCCCTGACAATGTAATAGTTGGATTTCTTTATTCATCGTTCCTAGAATGCGGCAGCGCATTTGTCCTCCTGACGGACACCGCTTTGTGTGCGGAAGCTTTTGGAGAGCTCTCCGTACACTCTCACACGTCCGGAAGTTTGAGAATTCAAAGAACCTATTATGTTTACAAACTTCCGGGGCATTCCTTGGTGTGCAAGCGTCACAAGAGGAACAGACCGATCAACCGAGTCGAATGCGCCTCGGAAATCCAGGAATACTAGAATCGTGGGTCGCTTATACGTATGGCGTTGTTCTAGCACCTGACGCAGTGTGAAGATTTGGT